TGCTAAGCACCCAGAGCAGTCACTGACTGCAAGAATCTGGCAGCCCTAAAAACCAGACTATGTTTTATTTAGATACCAAAATATGGATTGAGAAGCCTAACTTTAGGCACCCTAGTTTGAAAATGTTGGTCTGGGTGCTTATTTACCCCTTGTGATAAAATTTTACTATTGGATAAGAAATAATTTGAGGAATATTTGCACCAGAAGAAGTTATGTTCTACTGTTATAACAAAACAAGTAGTGATTTAAACAGACATACCTGAGTACCACAACAATAGGGCTTTCACTTCCCGTGATGACAATCAGACCTTTCCATATCATAAGTGCAGAAGACACAATCATGGCAAAATTTAATACTTGGTAATATAGCTGCAAAGACACAAACAAACCAAGTCCCGCCCATAAAATAAAAAAGTGTCTAGTTAACAAGTACAGACTAGAGGTACAAAAGTAGAACTGCCTGATACAAACAGGTTTTCATTAACTTCACTGTTTTAATGTGGATTTCCTTCTTCGCCAAAGTCACAGCTGGACACTATGAAAGTTTAACCAACTCTTAAACCTATTTTATTTTGCAAAACAAAGCTATGTGATGTATGAAACATGGATGTTTTAGGGGATACAAATGCATAGCGTAAATGCATAGGGTAATTTCCGGTATTTGGAACACCTCTGAAACCAGAAAGCAGAACTGGCTTTTCTTTTTAAAAAAACGTTGTGCATTAACAGTCATGATAGTGGTACAATGGTCTTGATGCTGGCATGCTAAAGTAGACTACGGTGAAATCTTGGCCCCATTGAAGTCAATGGGAATTTTACCACTGACTTCCATGGAGCCAGGATTGCACCCTGGGATGACATCCTCACTCCTACTCTGGTCTCTTTATACCACCGGAAAAGGCCAGAGCAGCATAAAGGGGCCCTAAAACCCCCCGTAAGCAACTGGGGGAGGATTCTCCGGGCACAGACAAGGTGGAAGACAGCAGCAATGTAGCCTCCTGAGGACCCCTTGCAAGCCCTGGAGTAGGGGAGCATATGGTGGGCAGGGATGAGGGTATGTCAGGGAAGGGCCTGCAGCACAGTGAAAATTCGAGCAGCAAAGTGGTCCTTAGAGCAGCCTGGGGGGGCTCCTGTAACTCAGAAAAGCCCCAGGGATAATAAAGGATCAGGAAGGCAAGATGATGGCTTAAAACCATCTTAACCCCTACCTTGCCTGTGGCTGCAAATTTTGTGCTGCACTGTAGAGAAGCAACAAGTTCTCAGACCTTGTGATTAAAGCCTCAGTTCTGCACTGTGACCTGCACGGGTGGACTTCTGAAGCCACACAGAGCCCCAGTGAGATCAATGGGACTCCATTCAAGTACTACTCCTGGGGGAAATCTGCACCAAAAAACTAGAAATTCTGCACACAATATTTTAAAATTCTGCATATTTTGTCAAAAATAATACAATATAAATCAGGCCAGTTTCAATTATTTTGGTAATTTATTTCAAAATACCTGCCAACAAATACGGCTGTAACAATACAGACAACATAAAATATTCAAGAAATGTTTTTTGACAATAGATTCCTTACTAGGCATATTAATACAGAATTTTGAGTAAGTGGGTTGCTGGGTGTGGGTGGGAAAAGTATGGAACAGGTTGGGTTTTTTCCCCTGGGGGCGGGGGGAGGGGGGAGGGGGGAATTATTAGGGAGCCTCCTCCTTCCAGACCCTGGCTGACCCCTAGCCTCTCTCATTCAGTCAGGCACATCTGCCACTGTCCCCATGTGTCCCTGTGCCCTCACTCAGCCACCCCCTAACCCCATATAGCCCTGCACCCCCACTCCCATTCCACCCCCCGTTTGTCCCCCGCCCCCATTAGCCCTTCTGAACTCGGTCTGTGTGACCTCTCAGCAGTCCCATGTGCTCCATGCTGTCCATCTCCTCCCCCCAATATCCTGTGCCTCCTTACCAGGCCCCAGGGGCAGGGCACTGTGAGAAACGTAGCCTCTTCTCTCTAACCCCACTCTGCAGCTGGCTGCTCCTGCCTGGCAGCAGCTGCCCTCTGTTCTGGTACCACAGCAGGCCCTGGTGGGCAAAAGGTGTAACTGCAGCGCCTCTCAGGCAGAATGTATTTTCTGCAGAGAAAAAAAATTTCTGCAGGGGGACATGAATCCTGCTAGTGCGCAGAGGTGCAGAATTCTCCCAGGAGTAAAGTACAGCTGCCCACCTATGGAGATCATAATGCAAGATCAGGCTTAAGTTTCCCCATATCTATGCCAGTGCACTTCAGTTGTGGCTTACAACACCTCTCCTGGATCTCTTTTTTGTCAACACTTCCACTGACAAACCATGAGGTGGTTTTGTAATGAGGAGAAACAGAAAAGAGAAAGATATGCTCTTTAGGAAAGTGCTAATTCTCTCCTTGATTGCACTTATATCACTCCTGTTACTGTTCATGAGAGCTCCTTGCACACATACACAAGAAATTAGGCCCTTTACTGTGAACCTATCAGCATTCAGAGCCACTGTACTGTAAGCAAGTGGTACTTTTGTTCAGCTAGAATATTTGCGAGTTGTGTATATCATTCTCTGTTAACCTCATGTGTGAAACTCACAGTTGCAAAATATTGCAGACATTTAGGTTTAATCTTGGTGGGAAAAAAAAGCAAGCCTGATTTGGTAGTCTTGGTAGGATACTTTATTTTTTGGGAGGGTGGGGATTGGAAGGGGGAATACCTCACCAGGCAATTTTTACTTACGGATACTCTAATTAGAAATCAGCAGTGACCAGAAGCAACTCTCTATATCTATTGGCTTACTACAAGAGACAGAGTGGTCTAAGACAAGGCACAGGACTCAGAGTCAAGAAGTCCGAAATTTCTGACAGGAAGCTACAAAAACAAAGCTTGAACTTTGAGGTACATACTAGAAAAAGCATTGATGTTCATGTGTATTAGCTGTTTCACCACAGTAAATATGTGCAGGGATCCTGTATTAGTAGCAAGAATAGCAACATGATGGACTCTCACAAAGTAGAGCAACCAGGAAGGAAACATCAAAAGATAGGGCACATTGCCAATCTACCACATAACAAGCACAAAGTAGATTGGCTGGTTGAGAACTTGGCATCTAGTTATGCTACATGTGTTGACTGTATATCTGAAAGCCAAGGATGTCCTGTTTTGGGGGCCTGTTCCAATGCCTTAGGCAGCTTTAAAAGAAAACAGGGCTTTGGCCTGATTTTGGAACCCTCCTCGATCCCTAAATAATTGAACCGGTAATATTGACAGCAAGTTGGCCATGGGCCCATGTGACATGAGGACTACCCCATATTAATAACCAGACTGCCACATTTGCCCCTTTACCTTCCCCATCCACAAAGGCCCTGATAAGCCCATCAACTTTGTCTAGAACTTATTCACTCCTGAGTGGCAGGGGAAGGAGACAGAGGTGAGTAACTCTGTAAAAGAGGAGGCATAGGCACTCTTCTTCCACCAGTGGCCAAGTTGTGGTGCAACCCTCCCAGTCCTCAAACAAGGGTACTTCTTAGGATTTATATTTTTAGGGTGAAACTCTGAGAATCCTATACCTGTAATAACCATGCCTGAGATACCCACAGAACAACTCGGTCTGACACTCCGTAGTACGCTAGCTACAAACCACAGGCATGAACTGCACACTCACAACGCTAGACCTGTAGACTGAATGCAGCACAGCACAAAAAACTGAGCGGCCCAACATGCAGCCATCACTGCACACATGCAACATGCGCAACAGCTGCTCCATACACAGCAGGGTAGCTGGGGGCCTGGCATCGCTAGTAACGCGGGTAGCACCACACATACACTTGCATGCAACCCGCAGCCTCAACGTGCCACGAAACCAGGCGCATGCAACACGGCCCAAGCACGCCAGAAACCACCACAGCTGCAGACACACGGAGCACCCCACCCCCTTTACCTGGCGCTTGTTCATTCGCCGCAAGTCCTCGAAGACGTCCATCGCCAGCTCCTTGTGCGGCGTCAGTCCCAAGGGAAAGGAAGAGAGAGGGGATGGGGGAGGCTGCAGCAAACCAGAGCGAGGGGGACCCCACCACTCGTTCCTGCCTAGCAGCTGCGGGGCTGGGCCAGGACTAAGCCCGCCGGGTCGCACCCCAAGAAACAGGGGAGCAGGGCTAAGCCACTCACGTCCCCCCCACCCCCGCAGGAGCAGAGTGGGCGAGGCAGGCAGGGCTAAGCCCCCAGGCTACAGTGCGTGGGGCAGGGTTAAGTCCCCCACGTCCCCCCTAGAGGCAAAGGCAGGACGGCTGCAGTAGCACCTAAGCCCCCAGGCCCAGCCGAGGGTTGCCAAGAGACCCGCTCCCGCCCCCCAAAAGCCTGATTGGCTTAAAAAACCGCCAACAGCGCCCAAAAAAAAGCGAGGGACGGAATTTGGGGGTCCTTTCGTCATGACGCTGGGCGGGGTTTGCGGCAAGCGTCATGACGCGGGGCGGGGTTGTAGTGTGGGGAAGCCTGCGGGCCATACAAAAAAAGTGACCCAAAGCGGCTAAACGCCGTGGGCCGTGACGACTATAGGGCAGCCCCCCCGCCCCCCATCCCTCCGGCCGCAGAGCTCTCCCGCCGCTAGAGCAGGCTGTCCAGCTGGGACAGTCATCTGTGACTCGCTTCGACCCCTGGGAATTGTAGTCCAGCTCGTTCCCCTCCTCCAGTACCGCGCAAGGAACGGATGAGTGGCGGGACTACAACTCCCAGAATGCCACCGTCGCAAGCGGCCCGCGGAGTGAGGCCCTCTGGGAAGGGTGCGTAAAGCTGCCTCGCCGTTTGTTGTCAGACGCGCGCAAAGCGGGAATCGATCTCTCAGGGGACCCCGCCAGCAACAGCGTGACAGCTCAGGGCGTCCAACCCTGCCTCTTGGAGCAGGCAGCGTGTTGGGCAGCTGCGTGTCTGAGCGGCTGCCCCGTGGACACAGCTCATTGGCGGGGCTCGCGGATGTGGCGGGGGAGGCGGGAGGCGGCGCTGAGGGGCGTGGGGCGAAGCGGAGCAGAGCAGTGCGGGGCTGGTGGTGGGGAGGCCCCGCTCACTCCCCCCTCCCCTTAGTGGCAGGGGGACGAGCCCTTCGGAGCAGCGGGTGGGGCGTGGCTCAGTCACCGCCGCCCAGGTCCTCCCTGTGGGGGTCCCCGCCAGCGGGAATGCGGTGGAGCCGCCAGGCACGGTATCCTGCTTGGCCAGGCCAGTGCCCGGAGCAGGACGACGTAGGGCTTGGTAACCCGCTCCCGGGGGCGCGGTGGGGAGGCGCTACCCAAGGGGTAGCGGATGGGGTCGGGGGTGGAGGACCAGATTTCTGGACTTCAAAAGGCGGAGGTCCGGCCTTTTTGTACCTCAGAATTGGCAACCATGGTTGGGAATGGGGGCTGGAGGAGTGCGGGACTGGAGTCCTGTGGGGAAGGGAAGGGTGGGACTATTAGGGTCTAGGGGAACTTGGTGGCTGTTTGTACTGATCAGGGCAAACCCGCAATAGAAACTCTGCTGCCGTTTGTGTAAGCACTGCACATACAGGGCCCTCTTACCCTGGGGACAGAATGCTGCATCTCCTGCTACCCTCTCAGCCAAAGCTGTAAGCGCGCCTTTCTCCATAAAGTACTGAAACTAAAAAGTGGATTGCAATGAAAACGTACGCCATTTCTATGTGATATCACTTGCCGGACTCAGCCACAAATTTCTAGGTCAATAGAACAAACAATCCCACCCAAACTGTACAGCTTTTGTCCAAATGGATCCCACTTCAGGTGCTCATATGTATGAGATTGAAATCTTTTAAATAGCAGTGTCCACTGGACTGCGTTTGCACCATGCAGTCCTTGCACCATGCAGTCCTTGCACATCTTTTTCCTCCCCTCCCGTCCCCCACATAGTATAGGACAAGAAAGTGGATTAGAGATACTTGCAATAAGCCATAAATCCCATGTCTTTATTAAGACCATGATTGTTATTGTCTAGCTTCCATGTGAGTGGTATCGTCATTGTTGTGAAATAATTCTCTTTAACAGCAATGATGATACCACTCACAGTTACTATGTCCCCGCCAACAATCACAAGAAAAAAGAATCATCTGACACCACAGAGTGAATGAAACCACACTCTTGATCATTACATTGATTGCTTCTGAAAAAGAATTGATAGTGAAATCCTTAACAAACATCACATCCACCATGATTTCTCTTTCCACTGCAAAGAGGACAGCTATACAGTTCCTGAAATCACCATATAGTGTCAAACCAGCAGACAAAGGGGGCTCCACCATAGTCTCAACCATGATGAGTACATTAAGGCCAACTGACAACTCTGAGTCTATAAAGAACTCAAGACCCCACACTACAATTTACCCAGGAATTTAAGGATGTTATCAAATCCTTCCCCAAAGAACTCCAAGAGAAACTCTATAAACTCATTCATCCACGAACCCACCACAGAGACCTTCTACATGCTTCCCAAGATAAACAAAAGAGCCCAGGCATACCCGTCTTGTCTGCCCATGGCACTCTTAGTGAAGGAATATCGGGACTCATAGAAACCATCCTCAAACCACTCACCGCACAAAGGGCCAGTTTCCTCCAGGACACAATGAACTTACTCCACAACATTAACAACCTCCCTCAAAACACCATCCCTGCCACCGTGGATGTCACTTCCCTGTACACCAACATCGTTCATGATGATGGCATAGCTGTCTGCCTCAAATATTTACAGGACAATGGACAACCCTCAGATATTGACCCTAACCACATCACCAAACTCATTCCATTTCATCCTCATAGCAATTTTATATTCAATAACACACACTTTGTCCAACTCATGGGAACAGCCAGGGATACTAGGATGGCTCCCCAATATGCCAGCCTCTTCATGGGCCACCTCAAAGAACAATTTCTGGACAAATGCACCACAAAACCAATGATATACCTGAGATATATTGATTGATATTTTCATCGCCTGGACAGATGATTTAAAGTCCCTCAGATTTTCACCACAACTTCAACAGCCACCACCTGTCCATTAAACTCTCTCTGGAACTCTCACACTAGTATCAACTTCCTGAACACCATGATTAACTTCAACAATGGAATCCTATAAACAACTACGTACAAGAAACCCACAGATCATCACCTCTACTTTTGTAGATCCAGTTACCACATCAAACATGCCACAAGATGCCTCAGAATATGCTCCAAGGAAATAGTCTGCAATATGTACCTTAACACAGTTAAAACCACCTTCACCAAACAAGGACATGCCACCAGAGAAGAAGATTGCACCATGAAATGGAACATCCAAATACCTGAAGAGAACCTGCTTCAATACAGAAATAAAACCCCCTCTGACTGCACACCTCTAGTTGTCATCACCACAGCACACTGGAACCCACATTGGGTATCATCAAACAACTACAACCCATATTCCAGGGGGACCCCATCCTGAAATAAATTTTTCCTAAACCCCTTCTTCTGGCCTCAAACAATCCTCAACCTCTCCAAGCTCATCATCAGGAGCAAGCTCCCCACAGATCAGGAGACACCAATTCAAAGCAGCACCAGACCCTCCTAGAACAACAGATGCAAAATCTGCAGACATATCTCCATTGCTACAATGATAACCACCCCTACAAGACACCTTTGAAGATCCATGGGTCATACACATATCTGTCACAACATGTGGTGTAATATCCACTGCAGTACATGCCCCAATAATAACTATGTGGGTGAAATCTGACAATTGCTACACTCTCAAATGAATTCATGCAGGAAATGATAAAAGACAAAAACACCCTATCGCCCGGGGGATGAGCACTTTTCACAGAGAAATCACTCTATATCTGACTTATCAGTCCTCATCCTCACAGGAAACCTGCATAACATTTTCAAAAGACAAGCCTGGGAGCTTAAATTTATAACTGCTAGACACTAAAAATCATGGTCTTAATAAAGACACTGAATTTATAGCTTATTATAACAATATGTAACCCACTAATCCTCCGCCCCTTCTTGTTCTATAACTACACGTGTTAACAGAGGTAACATCTTGAATGGCCTTCTTCAAGTGCTTAATCTGTTCCAGGTCCTGGGCCAGAACACCTGCCTCCTGCAGCCTCTATGAAATGTCCCAGTATGGGTGAACGTTTCTACTGCTCTGGCCAAAAAATCAAGGAGGATAAGAGTATTCCTCTCAGACACTGATAGTTACCAAGGTATGCTCAGCAGGCCAAGTGGCTGCTGTCAGAGCTGTGACCATTGTCACCTGTATTGATCTGTATAGATGTGGACAATGCAGCATGCTTCCACTGGTGAAAACAAGGGGACAGAGACCTTTATAGATTGGGTAAGGGTCAAAGAGAAAAGGATTCAGTAAGTTGTGGTTATGGGGGTGGAGGACTATTAATACTTGAGACCTGCGTCTTACCCACCATCTAAACTGCAAACTGACTGGTACAGGACTTGCCCTTTACTCACCTTGAGACATGCTTCAGGGGTTTACATATGGATAATGGCACAAGTTCACATATGGACATATTTACAATTGCTAGTGTAGACATACTATTAGTGTATTAACCAAAACCCAGAGACTTCACACTGGTATTTACTGTATCTGCTAGATGTAAAACAGATTTGTACAGGATCACAAAGACTGCTCCTTCCCTAATCTTCCAGGAGCACACAGGAGGACCGGTGTATGTTGGGAGGACAGGGTTGGAGCAGGCTGCACTGATAAACAGATGTAGTAGTCACTCAATATTTTACAAGTGTTAATAAGCAAAGGGGACATAGGAGTAAACAAGGAGATGTGGGAGGACAAAGTCAAGACTCCAAGATTACCAGATTTAGGAAGCATACTTAAGATCTGAGTTAAGGAGAGGAATATACACCATGGAAATGTTACTCTTAATGAGGGCTTTACCATTTGAAGCTGTAAAGGAATAAAGAATCCAAATCTGTCACTTCCTTTGTGAAGGCTGTCTGCAATTTTGTGAAACAGGTTTTCTTACTGTACTGTTTAGGCTTCAAAAGGGTTTTTCCTCCCTTCATTGGGAGGAAATCTGTTATTCATCTACTTGAAGAAGTGACAAAATAAAGATTAAAAATAGTGTTTGTGGCAACTTGATCAGGGAAAACAATCCATAGAAGAGAAGCTGACATATCATAGTGTCTGTGTTGAATGTGTTATCAAAATAGTTTGTAGCCTCAGCTTGTTTTTCATACATCTTCCAAGATATATGGAGTCTTTTTACAGAGTTTAGAGAGGGCACCGAGCAAAACAGATAGAAAAAAAGAGAAGAGTAAAAGGGAAAGTTAGGCAAAGATGTGGGATAAGTCCAGTGTCCAGACACTCCACTGGCATATTCTGTTCACAATATTGTGATGAATTGTTAATGAGAGGTTCATGAGTGATTCAGGTTTCTGAATTTCATCCATTACTGTATGAGTAGCTGCTTTTGATTTTAATTCTGCAGAATTTCTTGTAAAAGAAAGAATAATTTCTCATATATTCCTCTGTTTCCAATTAATCTCCTTATATTGAATCAGTTCTCAATTATTGCCTAACTGAATGGCTGTTAGACTTCCACAACAATGATTATTTAGAACCCATTGGTTTATAAGCTGTAAGCCTTTTACAGTTGTTTTCGGTGCTAGCAAACTGATAATAGCTAAGGCCATGTCTACAGTACACAGTTTTGTTGACAAAAGTCAGCTCTCATCAACAAAACAGTGGAGGTGTACACACTGCAATGCTCATCCCACTGATTTAACTCTTCTGCTACGCCATTGTAATAAAACTACCTGGATAAGAGTCATAGAGCTTTTTGTGACAAAGTTAGAGTGACACAGTGTCCGTGTAGACACTGCGTTGCTTATGTCACCCTAAGTGGCCTCCAGGAGGTGTCCCACAATGTCCATCATGACCACTCTGGTCACCAATTTAAACTTTGCTGACCTACAGCCAGGTACACATGCATGTGCCCCTCCCCCTTTAAAGCCCCAGGAATTTTTGGAATTCCTCTTTCTGTTTGCTGAGCCTCCAGAGCTCACATCCTATGTCCAGTTGACAATGCCAGCTCCCCCACAGCAAACATGTTCCTGCCTGGAGTACACCGGAGTTGTTGGATCTGCTGGGTCTGTGGAACTTTCTTACCTATCATGCCTTTCATGCCACTTCTACAAGCAGCTGCACACCACCCTTGGTGGCAAGCACACCTCCACTGCCAAGAGCACCATAGATACTTTTGGGGGGAAGGAGGTAGCATCCAGTGGAGTGAACCTCAAGGACGAAGTGGTGGATGAGGAAGAGGCGCTGGAGGAGGATGGAGGACAAGCAACAGGGCCATCCATTGGCATGGCAAGCCAGGACCTCTTTTCAACTCTGGAGGGGTCTAGCCAGTCTCAGCAGTCCAACTCTGGTGCTCCTGATGCAGGAAAGGGGAGCTCCTGTAACTACTCATTGTGCTTTGATACTGCAGGGAGACATGAGATAGAGGTCTTTTTTCTCCCTCAGGGTAGAAGTGGGATAGAAATAACCAACATTAGCACTGTTTGCATCTACTTCTCATTCCCCTGTGCAGCTAGGCAGAGGGGGCCCTGTGGAAAAGTTTGTTGATGCATACAGGGATGTCTTGGGAATCATCCATAGAGATCTCTAGGAAACAGTCCTGGAAATACTTCACAATCCTCTGCTGAAGGTTCGTTGGGAGGGCTGCCTTGTTTCTTCCCCTGTCGTAGGAAACTTTGCCCCACCAATTGGCAGTTACTTCTGCAGGCACCAAAGCAGCACACAGGTTAGCAGCACACAGTCTGCAGCCACATGCATGCAGGTTATCCTCAAGAGTGAGATATCAGCTTTTCTCATCCCTGCCTGTTGAAAATGGGGCCAGTATTCAGAATAGGGTCCTGTTGCAGGTCAGGCCCACAGTCACGCCTACGCACCCCCAGGCTTGGGGCTGTGCGGCCTAGCGGCTGGAGTCCATGGCTGCCCCCGGGCTCGGGGCTGTGTGGCCTAGCGGCTGGAGTCCATGGCTTCCCCCAGGCTCGGGGCTGTGCGGCCTATCGGCCGGAGTCAGTCACTGTCAGAAGGGGCTGCCACCTCACGGGAGGCGGGGGCCAGGATAGGGGGACACGGGCCCTCCTTCTCCACCAGGTCCAAAGCCAGGGCTCTGTTGGTGGTGGGTTGCCTGCCACCAGCTCGGCAGGGATCTGGCCGAAACACGCAGCGCTAGCCTCTGGCTGTCCAACCAACTCCCCGTAAAGTCTCCCTGGGTTACTTCCTTCCCGCTTCTCTGCATCTCGTGGCTTCCTAGTTCTCTTGGTTCCTTCTCCCTCAGTTGCATCCAGCACCTAGGGGTTTAGGGTTGCTGTCAGCTGGCTGGCCTCCGCGTCATGGAGTGCCTGCAGCCCTTCAGCAGGGGCCAGCAGCACACCTTCTTCCCCTACAGCAGTCCACCCAGACTGAGCCGGGTGCTCCCTCTTATACTGGTGTTGCACTTTGAGCATACCCAGTAGGACCGTTCCTTCCTCATCCCACAGTGAGGGGTTAACCCCCGCAGTCCCAGTGCAGGGCATGCATGCTCCGTCACAGGTCCCTAGGCATTTGTAGTGATCCCCCTCTGAACAGCCTCAACCTTTTGTCCCATCTTGCCCCTTCCCCCTGGGCCAAACTCACAATGGTTAGGACTCTCGCTGAGCTGTGTGCCTGCCAAGAGAAAGTGAGAAAGTGGTGTGTGTAACTTGTATGAATCAAAGCTATGAGTGCAGTCACAATAGTTTCTCTTTCTTTAGCTTCTGTAGATTTGCCCTTAAGGGTCTCATCCTGCACACTGGCTGAACAGCTCTGTCTGACAAGGAGATGAACCAGGAGGAGTAAGGAAGACATGTTCAGGGAGGTGCTGCAATCATCTGATGCTGCTGATAGCGAGCAGAGAGCATGGAGAGAGGCTGTCAATGAAAAACTGAGAATGGATAGCCAGGAGAAGAAACAGGCAGGAGCGGAAGATACAGCTGATTGAGGACCAAACAGACATACTGAGGTCCCTGATTGTGCTGCAGATCCATGTTCGCCTCCCCTGCAGCCCATACAGAACTGCCTTCCATGCCCTCCCCACACACATTCCTCATGTGTTCCCAGGCTGTCACATTACCCCATGCACTCCAACCCTAGGGACATGTTTCACGATGACACCTGAACATACATCCTGTTGGAAGACCTCATTTCAAAGAGTGCTCTTCATTGTCATGTCCCTGGTAGGAAATAGAAATGTTTGTATAGCTGTATACATAAAAATGTATGTATAGAAAGAAAATGAATTTTTATTTGTCTCCTACATACAATGGTTGCTGCTGAAATTCATACACAGTGGCAATCTGTGCATTTGCAGAGTACAATTAACACAAACACAGCAATCATTACAGGGGTCATGCTACAATGCAAGACAGAAGTGCCTGCTCAGTGTATTACAGAAAGGCATATTACTGGGGCTCTTTGTCAAAATGTTCCTTCAAAACCTCCCTGATATGAATAGCTCCCTGTTGAAGCTCCCTAACAGCCCTGCTATCTGGCTGCTCAAAAGCAGCTGCCAGAGGATCCACTGTAATGCTCCACCCTTGCAGAAACGTCTCTCCCTTAGTTTCACAAATGTTATGCAGAGCACAGAAGGCTGCTATGACCATGGGAATATTTTCCTCATTGAGGTCTAACGTGGCAAAAAGGCAGCACCAGCAACCCTTTAATCTGCCAAAGGCACATTCAACAGTCATTCTGCACCTGCTGAACCTGTTGTTGAAGCGCTCCTTGCTGCAGTTAAGGTTTCTGGTGTGAGGCTTCATAAGCAATGGGAGCAAGGGGTAGGCTGGGTCTCCCAGGATCACAATTGACATAGAAAAGAAGTCCTTTCTGTTCATGTACTCAATTGCAAGGTGGTCTGGGGCCAAAATGGGGGGATATGCATGCCGTCAATCATCCTGCTGCAGTTAGGGAATCCCATTGCCACAAAGCCATCCGCTATTTCCTGCACATTGCCCAGAGTCACAGTCCTTTGCAGCAGGAGGTTAATGGCTCTGCACACTTGCATCACTGCAGCTGACACAGTAGACTTCCCAACTCCAAACTGATTCTTGACTGATCGGTAGCAGTCTGGAGTTGCCAGCTTTCACAAAGCAATCACCACTCCCTTCTCCACCATGAGGGCAGCTTTTATTTCAGTGTCCTTGTGCTGGAGGGCAGTACCAATCTCCGCACACAGTTCCCAGAGGTGGATTTGTGCATCTGAAAGTTCTACAGCCACTTCTCGTCATCCCAAACCTGCATCATGATGTGATCCTATTACTGCTAGTTTCCCAAGCTCCATACCAATGGTCCACCGTGTGCAGCTGCTCCATGAATGCCAATAGCAATCCAGAATTGTTTCTTTCCATGGCACACAGCAGGGCAGACACCATGGTGTCATTATCAGATTCACCGCTCATGAAATACTGCAAGATCAGCCACTCTGTGTTCATAACGCTCATCAGAAGATTGGAGAGCAGTTCAGGATCCATGCTTTCTGACTGAGATGGCAAGTGCACAGGTTACAGGGACTGTTGAAAATGTAGTCGGAATGATGGGACAGAGGAAACTGCATCATGGGATGGTGAGCCCGCCCCCATGAAGCACTACAATCCCTTCCCAGAGCACCCAGTGACAGATGGTGGTGAGTTGCACAGAGGAAGAGCTACCCACAGTGCACTGCTTTCTCTGTCGATGCAATAGCACCCAGTGTGTACGCCAGAGGTGGGCAAACTACGGCCTGTGGGCCACATCTGGCCTGCAGGACCATCCTGCCTGGCCTTTGAACTCCCCGCCAGGGAGCCTAGCCCCCCAGCCCCTCCCCTGCTGTCCCCCATTCCCCACAGCCATGCCACCGCGTGGGCAGCACTTTGGGCAGTGGGGCTGCAAACTCCTTCAGGGCAGCGCAGCAGCATGTCTGGCTCTGGCCCGGCGGCATGGCTGCCAGACATGCTGCTCAGAGCAGCTTGGTAAGGGGGCCAGGGGCCAGGGCTGTCGGGTCCCGGGGGGGAAGTCAGGGGACAGGGGGTGGTTGGATAGGTGTGGGAGTCCCGGGGGGCCTGTCAGGGGGTGGTTGGATGGGGCAGAGGTTCTGGGGTGGTGGTCAAGGGACGGGGAATGGAAGGGTTGGAAAGGCATGGGAGTCCCAGGGGCCTGGCAGGGGGCGGGGGTGTGGATAGGGGGCGAGGCAGTCAGGGACAGGGAGCGGGGGGGGGTCCGAAGGGATGGGGGGTCCTGGGAGGGGGTAGTCAGGGGACAAGGAGCAGGGGGGTTGGATGTGTCGGAACTTCTGAGGGAGGCAGTCAGGGGGTGGGAAGTGGGAGGGGTCGGATAGGGGATGGGGCCAGACTTTTTGGGGAGGCACAGCCTTCCCTATCCGGCCCTCCATACAGTTTTGCAACCCCAATGTGGCCCTCAGGCCAAAAAGTTTGCCCACCTGTGATGTATGCATTCTGCCGTCACAAGGACCGTCGTGTGGACATGCAAAAGAGGTTTAATTACAGCGGTGAATGATCATCTATTTAACTGAAATCAACTTATCTTTGTAGTGTAGAAATAGCTGAAATCCTATTTCCTGACTGGCTGACTGTTCCCACAAATACATTTCCCCCCTTGCCCGATGTGGAAATGAGGATAAGACAACTACTAAAGTACCTGCACTCCACCCTGAGGCCCCGCCTGCTCACCAGTTTCTCTCCACCCCCAGCCCCCTGATCAGCTGGCTGAGGGCTCCTCTCCACCCCCGGCCCCCAACCCCTGCCCACTGGGACTGTGGGTGCGAGGGAGGAATCCCTGCAGCAGGCACGACTGGACTCTCCACATATAGCCCTGCGAGCAGCCAGGGGGCACCCCATCCACACGAGCCTGGCCCGTCTGCAGCCTGGGAGCAGGCAGACACCTGCTCACTGCCCCCTCAGCTGATGAGGCAGTGGATCACATGACAGGCGAAATCCAACAAGGCAACATGGTTATGGCTGAGGGGTAAACGGCAGCTCTCTGGTAGTCGGTGGACAGCCCCTGGCCACTGCCTGGGTAGCATATGTTAGCTCTGGCTTTGAAGGGGAGGGGAGGATCCCTCTGTGGGGATTCAGATCTGCCCCTCCTGGGAAGGGAAGGTGAGGTCCCTCCTAGCCCCTTTTCAGACTGACCAGCTGAGTTATAGCCTCCTTCAAGTCTGAGCCAGGTGTTTCAGGAGAGTGCCTATGATATTGGCCATGCACAGACATGAAAAGTCCCTGTGGTGTATCTTGTAAGAGCTTGGGGTGGTTCCTGTGTCTGTGGTCAAAATTGCCCTCTCCCCTGTTGTACTGGGGGTGGCCTTCTGCCCTGGCGGCTTCACTCCAGTGGTGCTTTGGGCAGCTAGAGTGTGTATGTAGCAGCACTTTTCCTGAGAGACTGATAGCCATTCAACTGTGTGTCATAGGCCCTATATTTGCTGTCAGATAAATGAGTTTCTTCAGTAACTCAATTGTTAAAGTCTTATGTTTTGGAGCAGGGCGGGTCTGAGTTCTACCCTGGCCATCACCATGAAATTCTGGTTTGCCCTGATATGTGGCATAGTAATAGCCTTGAATTTTCTAAGTGGCCCCCAGATTTGTGTGTATATAGTTATACGTAACCTTAACTGTACCAGAGCTTTGGCTCTGGCATAATAAATGTGTGTACATTTGAAATCCTGAAGGCTCAAAGGGTCTCTCTAAATATTACTTATTCACAGAAGAAGTCTATGCAAGATGGATATTAAGTACATTTTGAACATGCCTGCCTTGATAACAGTTAGTTTTAACTATTTCTGTAGTGCCCATCACAGTTATGCCAAAAATCATTTTTATCAGATGAAATACAGGGGCAAAGTCTCAAGTTGGAAAAAGAGAGAATTAAAGTTAATTAGATATTAAATGTCTCACTGAAATACCCAAGCAAAATGTGTCATTCAAGAAGGGGAAACTGTAAAATGGGTTAATCATTTGTACAGTATATCATATGATTTCCCTCAACTTAGGTGGATTAGTACCAATTACATTTAACGTTAACGAGAGCTCCATTAGGCTGCAGGAAGTGTGATGAATTGCACTTAGAAATAGATTTGTGCTGACTAGGCAATCTGATTATAGCTCAATTTTTATAACAAAATGAAACCATTTTACAGTTTTGGGTTTTTTTAAAAAAAATCCATTAAATGTATCAAAATGAGGGAACCTCCCTCTGAAAAACAAGAAGAGGCAGCTCCGGAAATGTATTCATGAATCTTGTATGTTTAGATGAAAATCAACATCTTGTGAAGTTTCTTCCCCCCCCCCCAGTTAAGATAATTAGTTCCTTTTTTAAAGGCTCTCTCATACTGCTATTGATGTCAGTGGCAGACTCCAAAGTTGCATGAAAGAGTGTAGGTTGCAGGCAGGAAGATTAAAAGAACATCAATTTAAAATGGATGAAGTTTTCGACTACTATAATTACAAGCAACATTTAGGATTACAGCGCTTTCAAAATTAGCAGTGAGAAAAATATTTGTTTCAATTGTTTGGTTTACTCTGTATATTTGACAGTACATTGTGCATGGATAAAGCTGCTTTTTATGGCTTCCCCTGTATAGTCACAAAATGTACTCCACAGAGGATTAACATCAAAAAATGTTGACTAGAATACAAGTTAATGGTGTCCCTTTAAATATCTCTTTAGAAAAGGTGTTGTTTATTAATGAAAGGAAAGAGTTATCCTTTCAAAACTTTCAGCATAGTTGCAGCTTTAGGGCAAGGTTAATTAAGCCTCAATCTACACTACTTAATTGGGACAGAGGTGGTATTACATATTTTATGTATATGTGCCTCAGGGGTTAACTGAGGCACGGGGAAGTTCATGCTCTCACACTGGGATACAGTGGAAGAGTCAGAAATACATAGTTCAGGCTCTGAATGTGTATTGATCACTATACCATAGTTCCCTACAAAGTTTCTCTCCGCCCCCGATGCAGCAGTTCTCACCCTGAGGGTGCATGTACCCCAATTAGCACACAGCTACAGCCCAGCTGTGTGCTAAAGACCACCAGGGGTCAGGGGACCCCACCATCCAGCAGGGCTGGGTCAGGGTTGGGGCTGCCCGCCAGCCCCGTGGGGTCAGGCTGCCAAATTCCCGGCTCTGCGAGAGTCCAGGGGTGCCAGCCGGCCCTGTGCAGCGGGGGTCCAGCCCTACGCAGTAGGGGTCCGGGGCTGTCCACCAGCCCTGTGCGGCAGGGATCGGCACTGGGGCTGCTGCCCGGCTGCCCT